CAGCTTGAGATGTAGTGCTTGGGGCTCTGCGAAACATTTCACAAATACCTGCCCTAAATTCTGGCAGTCTTATTGCATACACGATAGGATTTGACAGGGAATTAACGCCAACTAAAGCCGCTAGCGTCATTGTTATGTGAAAGTAGGAACGTTGAGGGTACCAGCTTGAGAGAACATCTTTATGCCAATATGTAACTATTCTGAAAGTTGTAAATGGAAGCCATGTCATCAAAGATGCAAGCGTGACAATAAGTAAGGTGGCGGTCAATTTTCTTTCTCTATTGGTTGCACCATGATGTCGAGGATTAGAACTGAATCGAACTTTGATGAAAATAGCAACATAAGAGACACAAATCAAAATTAGTGGAACTGTTGAGAATGATACCGCAAGATGAGAATTTCCTTGTGTTTTGAGTAACACGATTTGAACAGTCTCCCTCAATGAAGTTAGAAACCAAATAGCGGCAATTGCCATTGCGTAAACCTTTTTCTTAATTACACGATGCTCAAATGGAAATAATGTGGCATGCATTCTTTCTAAAGAAATAGCAGCGAGATTTACGAGTGAGGCTATGGGAAACAAATTAGCCAATGGGGAAATCGTCTGAGTTTGCCTCCATAAATCGCAATAGTGCCCCAAAAGATCATGAACAGCCACAGGACCCGAAACTGCTCCAGCCAAAAGATCGGCTGTGGCTAGGTGGATGATCAAGTATGTACTCTGGCGCTGTAGCTGGCGCTGCTTCACAAATACAATAATGGTGAGGAGATTGAGGATGACAATGGCCAGACATTCAGTGATGGAAGCAACAAGCCACGGGATGCAGTCCGAGGAATGACTCAGGGTGAAATTCTTCTCCGCGTAGCTTTCGTTGTTAGTAGCGTTTCTGATCTCTTCGGCCATTGAGTAGCTGCAAAAATTTTCCAGAAAGAAAAATGTTACTTGAATGTGAAAGCGATCTTCGTAATGATAATCACTACGTAAGCAGTAGTGGAAATAAGACCTGAAAAAAATTTATGGGAATGTATGTATGCCAGCTGGGAGCTTGTTTAAAATGGACACTTCTTGTGCAACATAAACTTCAGATGAAAGCTACAGATGAAAAACCAACGACGAAAACCGAAGCGAGCGCGTAAGAGCTTGGGAAAAAAAATATCATACTCGCCCTTCCGCACAAGATCACACTGTTTTTCACCATTACTAAAAAGATCAGTCCTTGTAAAACGGAAACGATACTAGCTGGAAAGATGACTTTTCTTGCCGATTTATAACGCCTTATCTTTTTGTTAGTCTTCCTTGTACCAAATGGGAGTCAGAAGCCAAAGCGAGTAATAATGTTGTTTGTATTAGGTAAGATAGTTTAGAGGAGGTGTAAGTTAGAAGCCATTTGTGAGCAATAACATTTATCAGTTGACTTCCGTAATTAAATAATTATCTCAGCATACCTAGCCGCAAGCATATTTCCTAAAGCGATCCTCGGTTTTTCGAAATGTTTTGTTGCTATCAAACATTATCGAGCAAGGTGTTTGCATCAATGAAAACCAACTTTTTATAACCGGGTATGAACAGCTGGTCAAGAACAAAATTGTAGACCGTGTTCTGAATAATTATGGTTTGATGACAAAAACGGCACCTTCTTTGTCATGCATTTCTTGCAAAGTGACAGATGACAAGGAAAGTTGGTCGCAATGAGCCTGAAACTGCATCGAGTAAAGGGCGGCGAAAGGACAAAGTGGAGTCAAACTCCGTTCACAATTTCTTTAACGACCACCTTTTGGCAAATACGTTCTCATTGTTTGATTTTGAAAACACAGTAAAAACTTTTTCGAGTGCATCACTCAATCCATTCTTTAAGATCAGTCTGCCAAACTTCTTATACTTGAATTCATATTCACACTTTACTTTTTATTTATGCGTCGATCAATTCGAAGCAAACGTTGCGCATAAAATTGCAACTTAACCAAAGTTTATGCTGCCCTTTATTTTGCAAGAAACTGTTGTGATCCCTCCTTTCTCACAACGAATCCCTTACAATGCCCTGGGCGTAAAAAGATGCATTCTAACAACATTTTAACAAAGACCAATAACGAGAAAAACAGTTGTTGGATTTGACTCCAAACGGTAATTACTTATTGCCTTCAGTTCGTGCAAAATTAAAGAAGTGTCGAAATATGACATTCTATTTCTTAAACTCTATCTTGCTGTTAGTCCAGCCTAAATTTTTTGTGAGTAGGGAAATAAAGATCTTCCTCATCGTTTTCCAAAATAATTAAAAATAAATGAAAATTAAAAGTTATATCTTTAATGGGGTAAAAAGTCCTCTTATCATAGGTTACTTGCCCCAATACACGAAACTCTTTTCTTGACTTGCTGACTTTCGCGCACGTTGGTCAATTCTGTGGAGGCAAACTAATATTCTGACCTAAGAGTTCGCGTCTTTTTTTTTGTTTTTTTTATCCATTTTTAACTTCCTCGCAGTGACGTTTGCAATACAAACAACGACTGGAAATATTTTATAGCAGCTGGCAATTGTGTTTGAATACCGCCTAACACTTCAACGGAGAGATATTAAAAAACATAAAAACATAAACTAACCCCTATTGATTCTGATTCCGATTCTCTTTCACGAACTAGAAGTCTGGTTGATATAATTTGTTTTCTTGCAACGTATTAACTAAACCGCTTGATGCGACAGAACTAAGAAATGTCAATCATTCCTTTTGACATTTTCGACCGATTTTTTTTTTTTCTGTGTTTTCGTTTTCGATGCAAATTTTGACCAATCTTCCGAATTTTGGTCGGCGACCATCCCGGTCTCTTTTCAAAATCTTTTCATAGTGATTATAAAAAAGGGATGAAAGCTGACCTCTCAAAGCTGATTCTATTATCGACATTCAGACATGATATTGATTTCGTGCGAACACGAAAAGGATATGGATGATATAGTTCGGCGATTAATTCAAACAAAAGGAGATTTAAACTTTTTAACAAAATACCTTTCCTTCTGATCCCTGGCGAGGAAATTCAATCGGTCATGGACGCCTCATACTGCTGGTGGTGGAATGACGTCCTACTTAAACCTTACCATCCCGGTGATCTTAATTAACAACGATGACAAGCGTAACCTTATATGGACCTAGATGTGTAAAGGCAAATTGAAGAAGATTCGCAGAAACTTCCCTCTTCCCCTTTTTTAGAATCAATTTGCGCTGCGCTCAGTCTTGATGTAAACAGAAACAGGAGCATGTAAACTTAAGTGGTGGAAAAAGACACCAGACGTAAAGAATAAATGTTTTTAGCCGGATGACATGTTATGAACACATGAAAACAGATACGGGGTTATGGTTCTGTTTTACAGTTCATGTTAAGTCAAACTGTAGCTATAGAGTGCAGTTCAAAGTGTATGGATTCCTCAATATATTTCTACTTTTTCATAACAATTCGTTGGATGATCGGGACCTCCGTTTAGATTGTCCAAAATTTGACACTTATCGAACTGTTTTTTAGTGAAGTAACCTCGAAGGAGTCTCTAAAGAAATCCAACTTCCTATGAGTTCAGGAAGTTGTAAGATCTAAGCCAAAAATAAAGATGACCAAATGAACTTCCTTTTGTTCAATAGTTTGCAGTGAGACCACACAGCTTCGCCTATGGATTAATCATACACGTTTGAGTTGATCTACCACGGTTTCTCCTCTGTGCTTGTCTGCAGGTTACCCACTCAAAGCGTTGACTAAAGCACGCCATAACTTGCCATATGATTTGGAACAGAAGATAAGATTAGCCATTTCCTAATCAAGGAAACCGAGATGAGACAAGATATGTATCCCTCATCTTGCAACGGTTACCGAGTTCTTTTCCTCAAACAGTTTTAGGCTCTGAGTAACAGTTTAGACGAGAGACAGAACGACAACAGTTATTGCATGCGAAAGCCTGGTACAGGTCAACTTTCCTGAATGTGCAAATACAGAGTTAGTATAAGGTTTCAAAGAGGTTTTTCGTTAGGGTGATAGGTAGCTGAGAAGAGTGTCATCAGTTATCAGAAGAAGAATAAACTTTTTAGGAAGCCGCGTTAACTTAGGACACAGCACTGGTACTGGAAGAGATGTAAGCAAAATCATTCTTGCTTGGGGCAATCTGCTCTAAGGAATCTGAAGGTGCTATGACAAAGCATCTTGCGTTCGTGTTTGCGCATCGATGGATCCAGGGGAAGCGTTTGGGGCACCCAGATCTCTTCCTCTCAGACCTGTGAGTTTGTTTAAATACTTGTCTGACACCCGCAAATTTCTTGCAAAGAGAGGATCGAATGTTGTTACTCAACATGAAATCTCTAAATTTCACTCCTCTCGAGAGATCTCTCACCCTATGTGATCTTCGGAGAAAGTAGAAATACCTATATTTTTCTAAAACAAATTTTGGATTCTCAAGAAAATAATTCCTGGATTTGCCCCTATTTTTAAAACCAAAATGGTATTATGTCATAAATATTTGCAAACTTCCGCAACTGATTAGGCAGTTGAACCTTGGCAGTAAGCGACGACCTCCCATGGTTTGACGAGGGCATCGCAAATGTGTTTGTGTCGCATTGAAAAAAGATTTGTCAGCAACTCTCGTTGTCTTGCACGTGGCCAAGACTTGTTTACTCTGATGTTTGTTTTATTACAAAAAAACGATGTCTTTTTGTCTTAATTACACTCCATGTTTTCCTCTTTCCTTGGGCTTTTAAACGCTTCCTACGAAAACTACATTTGTTCAGTGATGGCTTAAGCAATTACTAAAAAGTTGACGGTCAATTTGACTGCGTAGATATAAAATCACGTCGCACTAGTTCCTGGCTCGCATATAAGGTAATTCCTGTTTGGCTCTTTACTAATGAGAGGAACCAGCAAACAAGGAGCGAACCAAAATTTTGACGGCTTACGCTCGTGCCCTGGTTGCAAAAAGTTCACTAAACATGATATTTGGATGACTCTACAAGATAATTGTCATTCGTTAAAGCAATCAAGTTTGGGTATTCACGTGTCTGTCTGATCTACGAGCAGTAGGACTTGGTGTGTGCTGTAGATTCACAAGTGGCAAATCAGCGACACGTGTACGATGTTGGGGTCTACGGAACATTCTGATAACACTCTTCCTAAATTCTGGCATCCATATAGCGTACACAATTGGATTTACTATGGAATTAGCGCCAGCTAATGTTACCAGCCACATAACATCATGAAAGTAGGCCCCTTTTAAGCCGGAGGCACCTTCATGCCGATATAATACTATGAAGATAATGTTATATGGAAGCCAAGTTACCAAAGATGCAAGCGTGACAAAAAGTAAGGTGGCGGTCAGTTTTCTTTCTCTGTTGGTTTCACCATGATGTTGAGGATTAGGACTGAATCGAACTTTGATGAAAATTGAAATAGAGGAAATGCTGATCAGAATTAGAGAAACTGACAAAATTGATACTAAGCTAACCCTTTTGAATGATATAGCGAGATGAGAATTTCCTTGTGTTTCGTATAACACAATCAAAGCAGTCTCCCTCGATGAAGTTAGAAACCAAATAGCGGCAATTGCCATTGCATAAACCTTTTTCTTAATTACACGATGCCCAAATGGAAATAATGTGGCATGCATTCTTTCTAAAGAAATAGCAGCGAGATTTACAAGTGAGGCCATGGGAAACAAATCGGCCAATCTAAAAATCGTCTGAGTTCCCCTCCATAAATCGCAATAGTGCTCCAAAAGATGATTAACAATCACAGGACCCGAAACTGCTCCTACCAAGAGATCGACTATGGCCAGATGGATGATCAAGTATGTACTCTGGCGCTGTAGCTGACGCTGCTTCACAAATACAATAATAGTGAGGAGATTGAGGATGACAATGGCCAGACATTCAGTGATGGAAGCAACAAGCCACGGAATGCAGTCCGGGGAGTAACTGAAGGTCAAATTCTTCTCCTCGGAGGTTTCGTTGTCGGAAATGTTTTTGATTCCTTCGGCCATTGAGTAGCTACAAAAATTTCCAGGAAGAAAAATATTACTTGAATGTGAAAGTGATCTTCGCAGTGATGATCACTACGTAAGCAGAAGTGAAAATAAGGTCTGAAAAAAATGTATGGGATTTAAAACTATGACCTTTACGATACCGGTGCAGCGCTCTACCGAATTAGCTGACGAGCCAACTGGGAGCTGGTCATTAAGTTAGTTTTAAAAAAAACCCGTGAAGTGATGAATAAATGACTGTGAATATACGAAAATCATGTATGTGAACTGCGGATAAAGACGTGAATATGGAAGCGATCTTCGCAGTAAAAAAATTCAAATCTTCACGGGTTTATTAGTATGGAACCAACATAATGATCAGCTTCCAGTTGGCTTGTTAGCTCAGTTGGTAGAGCAGCGCATTGGTATCGCAGAGGTCATGGGTTTAAGTCCCGTAGTGTTCATTACTGCGAAGATCGCTTGCATATTCATTGCTTAAACCGCAGTTCACTTACATGATTTACATATATTTACAAACGTTACAAAATATTACTTGAATGTGAAAGTGATCTTCGCAGTGATGATCACTACGTAAGCAGAAGTGAAAATAAGGTCTGAAAAAAATGTATGGGATTTAAAACTTTGACCTTTACGATACCGGTGCAGCGCTCTACCGAATTAGCTAACGAGCCAACTGGGAGCTGGTCATTAAGTTAGTTTCAAATAAACCCGTGAAGTGATGAATAAATGACTGTGAATATACGAAAATCATGTATGTGAACTGCGGATAAAGACGTGAATATGGAAGCGATCTTCGCAGTAAAAAAATTCAAATCTTCACGGGTTTATTAGTATGGAACCAACATAATGATCAGCTTCCAGTTGGCTTGTTAGCTCAGTTGGTAGAGCAGCGCATTGGTATCGCAGAGGTCATGGGTTTAAGTCCCGTAGTGTTCATTACTGCGAAGATCGCTTGCATATTCATTGCTTAAACCGCAGTTCACTTACATGATTTACATATATTTACAAACGTTAAAAAATATTACTTGTGTGTCAGAGGAGGAGAGTCCTTACTTTCTCATGACTGAATACAACTTTATGACAACGACGGCTTTCAAGTTAGATAAACCAAGAATAAATTTTATCACCCCTCACTAGTTGGCGATTTAAAGATTTAATTTACAGGAAACGCAAAATTTTACCATGTTCTTTACTTCTTGTATCCACCGTCTTCCCGCTAACTGACAGCTACCTGTAACACTTGTGCTGGTAACCAAATTGAAGGCTTTCGAATTCAGCGGTAAAAAACGAATCCAAAGCCTTCTCTATTTCCACTCTCTGCGGCACTGTCTTTCGGAGCCGTATCTCTCTTCCGCCTACATACACAAATAACAAAAACTTTTATTTAAATCCCCCAACCAAAATTAAATTTCAAGCAGGAGAGTCTCCTCATACCTTAACTTTGAATGGAGCAGAATCGCGACGCAGTTAGATGAACATCGAAGTTTTACTTTGTGTTTTTTCGTGCTCTCGAGCAAAGAAAACCACAGAAACACTTTGTAATAATCGTCGCTATTTGTAATAAAATTGTCACACTTTGTAATACCTGTCACACTTTAGAATACATATCGCACATTGTAACAACACTTGTCGCACTTTGTGATCACACTTTTGGCACTTTGTAAAAAAAACGCTGTCGCACTTTGCAAACCTACCTGTCGCAATAGGAAATAAACCTGATATAGATGGTCAAGGGTAAGTGGAGTCAACAACAACCATTATACCTCTCGTAAACGACAATCTGGATGATAATAATGATGATATTGATAACAATAGCAATAATTATAATAATAATAATAATGAGAATAGCTATAAATATGATAATGATGATGATTGACATACTATAACAGTAATAGTGACGGTGAAAACAAAAATGTGTTTAATACGTTGACTGGCTGGCTGGCTAGAAGTTTAAAGGGGTAAGTTTCTAAAGAAACTGTGGTGCTGCGTCGGTGGGAGAGTATAGCAGGTAATTTAGTGTTAACAACTGGGATGAAAACGTAAATTAGCCACCGTAAAGAGTAAAAAAGCTGACGTTTCGAGCGTTAGCCCTTCGTCAGAGCGGCTAGAAGTTTGCCGAGACCACAATATTTCTATACTCCTTTATTTTAGTTCAGCTTGTCTGAATGAAAATATCATGGCGAGGAAGTTGGACTTTTTGTTGAGCCAAGATTAAAGGTTGCATCTTTAAGGCCATTGGGGTAGCGTCAAAATAAGTGTCAAACTGAAAATTATCAGCTTTATGAGGAAGATCATGTGCTTTGCTCTCAGAAAGCATTGATATAAACATGCGAAGAAAAAAAGAAAATTTTTAACAGAATTTTACAAAAGAATGGGCTCGGCAATTTGTGCCAGTTTTGATGATCGACGCTGTAAAAATGGGCCTCAGAGTGCTGAAGCGATTTTCACTCGGCATTTATTTTGCAATATTTGAAAAAAAAACCATTTGGTTGCGATAACCCTTAGAATAAAATAGATTTACGGGCAAAGTTTGAAAGAAATCGATTTTTCGAACTGAAACGCACCGGACCGTTTTTATAGAGTCTGCATCTTGTATAGTTACATGTATATCTTTGGTCACATCCTACACGCTTTGTGACATCGTATGCTAATTCGAGGCGTGTTTTTTTTTTTTTTTTTTTCACTTGAGATATGCTTAAATAAAACGTTTCCTAGGTAATCGTTATCACATTTCTTCATTAAGTTGGTGGTCCATCACACAAAACAGGAGTTCCTCGTTGCTCGTGCTATCAATAATATCTTAACAAACTGGGTATTCAGTTAACTTTCACCTCAAAGACACCTTACTAATGTGGAGAACCCGATAATACAGATATCACCTTATTTCTCTTACAAATTCGCTCAATCCGAACTTTCGCTGTTCTGGACATTAAATGGCGGGCTCAAAGTCGTGCGCGTAGAATAGTATTATAACTATTTAAATAAATGTGAGACTCGCGAGGAAGCTTTTCAAAGACATGTGTAAGGGCATGACTCATGCCATCATCAGGTTAATGAGTTGAACCGTTGAGTTTGGGTTTTCCACGTTACGTTTAAATCGTACACAATTTGAAATTAGTACTGCTACAATAATTGAAGTATACAGCAGCGCTTGCAAATGTTACTCTTGAAAGTAAATCTATGCGAATAAAAATTCTTATTATTATTATCGTTAATATTATCGACGAGGATGGTGGTTACTGATTCTACTCGCTTTCCGACCATATGTACCAATGTTATCACACATAGTGCGATAAGTTTTATTACAAATTGCGACAAGTGTTACCACAAATTGCGACATGTGTTATTGAAAATTGCGACAAGTATTATTACAAATTACGACAAGTGTTCATGCAGAGTGCGACTATTGTTCTAAAGTGCGAGAATTTTATAACAAAGTGCGACAGGTATTACAAAGAGCGACTATTATTACAAAGTGCGACAAAACAAACACATCCTACACTTCCTTTAAGTGAGATCATAGCTTTTGTCTCGAAATATCTCTCGGTCATTTTAGTATAGATATGTTTCATAGTGTTTTAGAGCATGAGCACATGTTTATCTGTAAACCCGATAGATTAAAAGAAATTTATAGAAACAATACTCGAAATATCAGATCAGGATATGTTTTATCTCTATCTTGAAGAAAAGATTAATCGTGGCTACTTACAAGCTATACCCTCTTTCAAAATAGACAGAACAGAAATATTGAATTACTTTCCTGAATGTTGGAACCAATCTTGAATTAAAAGGAGGATGGTTATTGCTAAACATGTCAACAATATATTACATCAAATGTTCTGCAGAGGTGTTTTAATAGCATCATAAAATAATAATGAAGGTTTTTATTAAAGTACATGTCGTCGCATAGAGTGAAATAATAACATGTTTACATTGACAAAATTGAAAACCTATTTTACAAATTACATATGATGACTAAGGTTTTAAGACTTTAAGAGGGCTGAATTCCTAAGAATTCCTTGAAAAATTGTTTTTGTAAAATGTGTTTACATGTGTTGATCACTGGGGAAATGATAGTAATTTTATTGCTAGTATTTACAATTTTCTATGAAAGCCATTGTTGGAAAACCGCTGTTTCTAAAGCGCTCTGTTCTGTAACGGGGTAACGATAAACGGTTGGCGAAATATATTTCACGGCCATGAACAGTAGCGCACTGCGGTGGGACGTTTACGAATAAGTGGGGGGTAATAAATTTTTTTTCGAAAGTTTTGTGGCTTTCCGAACTGCCTAGATGTAGAGAAAGGCCGCAGACTGGCATACGCTACTCAGAATGATTAGGGAGATTAAAGTGTTTACTGACTGGTTTGGATGCGTCCTTGTTATTCCTTTCTGCACCGCGAAGGTGTTCTCGAAATCTGTCACTTAGCCGTCTTCCTGTTTCACCAATGTATATATTTTTGCATTAAGTGCAAGTTATGTAACAGATGACACCGACGAAGGTGCACCTGAACTGATCAGTGATCTCTTGGGTCCCGATACTTTCTTGATGTAATTGCAATTTTTTAGACGAAAATAGAATGCTTTCTCAAGAGTTTAATTTAGGTGGTGTGCCGGATGGGTAGTGAATGCAACCGTCTTAAATGTTTTTTTTTTTTTACCTTAACACCGAAAGAAGTTGGAGCAAATTAGACGATATGTTTTAGAGACATGAAAGAACAGTTCTTTTGGGTCCACCATTCTCCATAACTTCAAGGTCCTCCAGGAGTATATTCTCCTTCCAAGCCGTTCTGAATGTCACCCAACGCTGTGTGACAGCCCAAAGAAGAATTGTTGCGATGGCGACTACCAGCAGCCGCTGGAAGCCAGAGGAGGAGCCCAGGCTTGAATGTGATTCTTTAGACTTTTGATTATTAGAAAATTGAAGTTTTGTATCGATGAACAGAAGGTGGACCCCAATCGGTTAATACTATGTGCAAAGATCTTTATTAGCAATCCATGA